AACAAAAACAAACAAAAACATGTAGCTGGAATCAAGGAGGAATAAAAAAAAAATAATAAAAAAAAACAAAGGTGCATGACACATCCTTGACAGGACTTTAAGAGGCCATGCAACCCTGGCTTAAATATTTAAGCAACATAATTGACGCAACTACCATCCCTGTCTGTTAACCATGCAGCTGGTGTGATGGAAATTCAAGTTTAAAGCAGCTTTTTGGAGTAAAGTTTGGTCAAGTTTAACAGTTTTGCTTAGCATTATTAACAATGCAATCATTTTATGAGGTCACTTCTACTCACAAGAAGCTCCAGTGTCTGTGGTGCCTTCAGGGACCTCCATGCTGACTGTCCCCACCTGGCCTGTTGTAATCATCCCCTCCTTTTGTTTTGTGCCTCCCTGCCGAACCAGATCTTCAACATCACCTTCCTCACCCTCATTATCCGACACAACCACATCGGGTTCTCTCCCATAGGGGAAGCTGGCTGGCTGCATGTCACTCAGACCCACACAGGGCTGCGCGGTAGCCTAAGAAAGGGGTTGTGTATATAATCCGTTAACACATTTTAATCGACTCACTGGGCTTTTCTTCACCTGAAAGCGGCCATTTCATTACCTGAAGTCCCGACAGGTGCGCAGAAGGTTGAAACGTTCTGGCTTTTGGAGTGTGCTTTTTATAATACAGCGTCCCACCACGCTGCTCATTCACGGCATTTATGCTCCGCCAACAAACGGTCTGGGAACAGCGCGACCTGAGGCTCAGCAGGACGCGGCCAAAGATCATGACAGGCACATGTGGTGAATTTTCGGCAAAGTGAAGTGTGGCGTTAGCAGCGGTGACACCACAGCTAGCCGCGGAAAACTAGCCTTTAGATGTGAACTAAAACATTGGCTTAGAGGTATTTTCGGGACCGTGAGAAATGAGAAAGTTCGAGTCACTGACTTTGCTCTGCTACAACAAACACCTGTTGGAATGGATCATGCTGCCCCCCCGCGCAGTACCTGTAGCTAACGGCTACCGGCTAACTGTCTCTGAGGAGCTGTGCTGCTAAGTCGCAAAACTGGTTACCATGACACCTCCGATAATTTGTCACCATGCTGTTGGTCTAGAAAAACCGTCGGTGTTAACACGAGCCAGAGAACGGTCTCGTCACACAGAAATTAAATGTTATCTACCGCGCTGTTGTTGTCAACTCTTAACCAACAGGATGTGACGTAGTGTACGCGCTACAAACTTTCCGGCCTAACTTTTTGTATATACAGTAATCGTTTATGTCCCCAGAATCGTGACTTATTTGTGGCAACATAAAGACAAATTACTGGAAAATTTATTTTCACTGAGATTTTAATTTCAATGGTCTTCCACTGTAACAACAAGATGTTTTCAAAAGATCAAATAGATTAGAATAAAGTTTATACAATACCCAAATGCACACTATAAGAAAATCTGTAATCATAGTATATATATGCATACACGAGAACTAAGAACAATCACTGAATTTGATATGAAGTAAATGTTACAACTCAAGCTTCCTCCCACTGCCACCATCAAACCATGCATGTTTGGGTTAACTGTCTTTAAGCATTTTTGAGAGCTTGCAATGCCGTGTTGTGTCTTTGTTGCCCAGTGATGGCCTGGTGATCTGTCCATGGTTTACCCTTTTCTCTCCTGATGATAGCTGGGAAAGGCTCCAGCGCCCCGTGACCCTGAGCTGGTGTAGAAAATGGAAGGATGAGCATGCACAATGATCCTTCTGTTTAGCTAAATCAAACCATCATAAGGCTGTGCATGCTTACATGTATGAATTAAGAAAAAAGTGTTCTTACCTATGGTACATGCAGTCAGACTACAGGGCTAAAATTCTTTTTTTTATCTGAGACACGGCTTGTTCATTTTGGGGACAGTCTATTAATCCTTGCTTAGTCTCATGGTAGAACACGTCGACAGAAAACATGTTACGGTCATCATTCATCCCAAAAAAGGATGTTGCTTTGGCTTCATAAGAATGATGCATCATAACCAGAATGACAGGCTTACTACCTGGAATTAAAACAAAGGTAATGAGAGATACAATGTAGTAGTAAATGGAGTGTGATTTGTCTTCAGCATTAAATGGTCAGAAAAAGTACCTGTAATGTTGCTCGTAGCTTCCTGAACATCTGTCCCAGCACGTGAAACAATTGGACAGAAAACGATAATGATGTGGCAGTCCTCATTGTTGGTCTCTTTCAGGTTGTGTGTCGTAATGGATTGCTGTATTTGCTGCAACAGCTGCTTCTCTGCATTAAACGTTCTGCCGCTGACAACCATCTTGTACCACAGTGTTTCTGTAGTAAATAATAAATTAAATTAAATACTAAACAATAATATAAATGTATATGAATTTGAATTATTTTAATACAAAGATAATTAGGGTAAAATAAAATGAGAATTTGAGTTTTAGTTAATAATGAAAATTGTTAAACATAATTTCCCATTAATCAAATGTCTTTGCTTTGAATAGTTTTTTTAAATTAAATGTAGAGAGTAATTTACTAATTAAATAACCAAGAGATTACAGATTATTAATGTGTTCAGCCAAATACAGACCTGGAATGTGGCTGCATCTTAATATACTTACAAATTAACATTGAAAGAGCCCGGTTTGGGGGGCTGTACGGTGGTGTGGTAGTTAGTGGCATCACCTCGTAGCAAGTTCTCAGTTTAAATCGCAGCTTTTTGTGTGCAGTGTGCATGTTCTTCTCATTCCCGCAAAACATGTATGTCAGATTAATCGGTTATTCTGAATTACCTTTGGGATGGAATGTGGGTGGTCGGTGATCACTGACTGGTCTTTTGTTGGACTGAGAACATCCCTTGGATGTACTTCCTGGTAACAATTTCCAAACTAGGAATAAGCAGATGTAGAAAACGGATGGATGGAAGGACAACACAGTTCTTTTTCACTGTGACACCATAGAGTGGGACACCAAGACATTTTACTGCGGTCTGTTTCATATGACAGGATTTACCGCATTAAAGTATGCTAGCGTTAAATACTGTTTTTACGACCTGAGGGTTACATATGTGTGTGTAGTGTGGGCGTGTCCTCCTTTAAGGCCTCATCCAGGTGATCTGTCCCAGCTGTGTGGCCTAATCAGCTGGGACACCTTTTAAAAGGAGGAGGAGGGCGACACCCGAACGCCAGAGAACCGAGTGAAACATCAGTATGTAAGGCTTTCCTGTGTATCAAAAAGACCTACCACTCAGCTATAAGGGGTAAAACAATAAGAGGCAGTCGTATGCTTCACCTGAAGTTGCTAACACAGGGAAGGTTTGAAATGAACAACATGTGTCTCAGTTTCTGCTCTCAGTCATGCCTCTGAGCTTTGACAAAACTTTAACTCTGTCTTATCCCATACCATGGTCTTCTTTACCTGACCAACCGGTGTTGGTTTCCATCTGTGTGCTCTCTGCTCCTTTGCCCATTGGGTTGTTTTCTGCTCCTAAAAGGTTGCAGTTAAAACAGATATTCAGTTCACTTATTTGTGCTCAGACTTTATACAACCCAAGTGAACCTTACAGTAAAGAAGATAATTCAACACATAACAACATGTTATACAACATGTTGTAACAACATAAAACTGTCATTGGGACCTCTTTCAGGTTCCAGGTCTGCTGGAGCTTTGCTGCTGTTCTCCAGGAAGTTTATATGGGCTTGAAGAAAGTTTTCCACGTCGCACACTCGATCTTTCATGTCCCTCAAGATGTTGAGGTAGTTGACCAGGACACCATTACCAGTAAGGGCTTCTGCATGGACAGCAGCAAGTTAGAATCGGATCAAGAGTGCTGCCCACAACCAATATTAGAGGTTAAAAATGAAAAATGACAGATTCTGGATATGTGGATTTAAAAAAAGCTTCAACTAACTGCTGTGACTCCCTACATACCCCTGAGAGTTTCATCTGGGATGAACTGTTTCAGCTCTTTGAAAAGCTCCTCAAGTGGTTTCTAAAACGAGAGAAAATGTCAAGTTCACTGCAGTTCCAGTGCTTTCTATTTCTTTCTATTCATCCCTATTCCTTTAGTCCCCTCACATGTTTGTGTATCATTTCAAAGAGGCTTCTCCTCTGTGTGAACATCCGAGGTCCAGGAAACAGGTCACGCAGGTCATCCCGAGTCAGTGACTGGATTTCTGAATCGGTGCGTAAACCTGCGTCTGAGGGAACATTAAGGGAACAGTATTTAGTCTTGTAAACACAGTAGCAAACCTCAGCTAACAGCTGTTGGTTGGCTTACCTTGCAGGACCCTGGCGGCGTTTGGGTAAGCATCCCTTATTTTCCTCAGCAAATCCGACATAATTTCACCCCCAGAAACGTCAACAAAGAGAAAGAACTTAAGACGTGGTGTAATAGTGCGTTTTAGCTCCTCTAGTTTCCCTTTATTTTGTGTGGGATTGGAAATGCTGAACAGGCAGCAGTCGAAGGGGAGACGGAGGCTCTGCTACCGGACAGAAAACCGCCTCAGCTCGGAGCGTGTCTATAAACAGCGAGAGGTACTGACACAAGTTATCTGAATATCATTTAAAACCTACGAATATCAATCATTTCCACCTACGTAAATGTCTGCACTCACCGTTTTCCAGAAAACAGAAAGCAAAACTTAATCGAACGAGGGCGTCGATTCCTGCTTAAGTTTCGTTTTCACTCAGTCACTTCATAAAAAAATAAAAGGCAGACGATGGAAAGCCGAAAAAGCAACTTTAAGTTTTTTGTGTTTAGTTTCTTGGGACAATACAAATAATTTTTTAGTAAGTATTGGCATATGCCTAAAAATGTGGAGCAAAATCCATGAAAAGCTGGAGATCAAAGGCATAGAATGAAATGCTTTATTGTTTTATTGTTAATTCCTCTAAAAAACATTACACATAGATAGATAGATAGATAGATAGATAGATAGATAGATAGATAGATA